GGCGTTGGTGGTGTGGGAAGTGTTGTTGCCGAAATGTTGACGAGATGTGGTATTGGAAAACTTATTTTGTTTGATTATGATAAGGTATGTATTCCCACTTCTGGTAGTGAAAGTCATTTGTTCTCCTTTGAAACAGGAAAAAAGTCATTTTTATTACTATCATTTTTATTTTGTGGAATACTTAATTATCTTGATAGCTTTAAATATTTTACGTCATTATTAGGACAAAAATGAGAATCTTTTCCGTCGACTCTTCATGTAGTCTTCTACAATGCAGAGGTAATGTGATCTAGTAATATTTTTGTTAAACTGCTTTTTTGTTATGAAGACCAATACTGTGTATGATGTAGATGTCGAAGGACAAAGTATGGAAATTTTAGGTTGAGCTTGCTAATATGAATCGTTTGTTTTATCAACCACAACATTCTGGTATGAGTAAAGTTGATGCAGCACGGAACACTCTCAGGTGAGTTTACTACTATGCAGTTAACCAGCATGAAGTATGCTATTAGTTATTTATGCAGATATCACCATTTTATCATCTGTTTTGCTTCTGTTTTCAGAGAAATCAATCCCGATGTAGATTTCGAGACGTATAATACGAATATAACGACTGTAGAGAACTATTCTCTATTTGTCGACCGAATTAGGTATTTTCGTTTCTTGTTTAAAGGGATCCAATCATTTGAAAATTGTCCTTTTTTGTTTTGAATATTATCATTGGAAGTGCTTTCTTTTAAATCAAAAAGAGACATATGTAATTAGTGAACTTGTTAATGAGAAATCCAGTTACTGATTGACATCGATTATATGGAACAATCCATTTTTTACGTGGTAAAAATTATTCTTCGGAGACTTTTCAAGCAGAAAATGATGCTTTGTTTTATATCTTCAGGTGTTCTATTTCTTATAACTATATAGTGTCTGGTAATTTACGTACTGAATCATATCTATGATACAGATGTAATTGTAAATTTTCCTTACAAAACGTGACTTTCAGTTTTGCTAAAATTTTGCAGATTATTTGTAGGAAAGGAAATCTTACCGGTGAGAAGGTTGAACTCGTCCTCAGTTGTGTGGATAATTTCGAAGCTAGAATGACTATTAACACTGTACGTATAATTACTTTAATTTTCTCAGTATTATAGTTCATCTTTTTCCATTGCTTGCTTATCACCGACATTTGAAATAAATTGGCCATGTTTCTCATTTACAGCACTTTTTTTTCAGGCTTGTAACGAAGAGAATCAGATATGGATGGAGTCTGGTGTCAGCGAGAATGCAGTATCTGGTCATGTGCAGTGTATGCGTCCTGGATATAGTGCATGCTTTGCTGTAATATCTTTTACTTTGTTATCAAAAATATTCCAGAGAATATTTTTGGATGAATGTTCGGTATATTTCAATCCACAAAGTTTTTTTAAAAATTTATTCATGATCCTTATAGTCTTCAAGTTATACTTCTCAAATGCTTCATTTGATGTTTTTGCAGTGTGTGCCTCCTTTGGTAGTTGCTTCAAATATTAGTGAACGGACCCTGAAACGTGAAGGGGTTTGTGCTGCGTCATTACCCACCACTATGGCGGTCATTGCCGGTTTTCTAGTACAAAATGCCTTGAAGTATGTAACACTTTTTGGATTTTGTTCTAAATTTGTTTTAGGCACATGTTAATAGGTTATTTTAGGTTTCTTTTAAATTTTGGTGAAATATCTTACTGCCTGGGATATAATGCTCTTTGTGATTTCTTTCCTCGACATCAAATGTTACCGAATCCTAGTTGTGAAGATCGTTTCTGTCAACAAAGACAGGAAGAGTGTAAGGTATAAACTTTCGATTTCTTATCGTGTTAATCAACGAAGCAACCTTTTGAAAGCCAAAATACTTCATATTTTTTTTCACTCATATTTCTAAAAATCTTATAGAAAAGTTTCTCTATAAGATTTCTTTGATGACAATCACTTACTTACCATTATTTTGTATCATTGCAGCAAGTTGTAAATGAAAATGAAACTAAAGGTAATGAAAAGACAGAAGACGAGATTACACATGAGGACAACAACTGGGGTAATATTAGTTTCTAGAAAATTCGTGCAAGTGAATCATGATAAACGCCTATTCATGTTCATTCTTGCAGGAATTGAAGTGTTGGATGAATCACTGACTGGCCCTACTAGTGGTTGTTGTAGTGGGCCTGGCGAAGGGATACAATTTGCATATGAAGCTCCTATTAAAGAGGTATTTTCTAACGTTAACCAGGGGCAAATTTACTAATATCTTAATTGTAAAGACCAATATTTTTATATAATTCACTGTTTTTGACAAAACATATGATTTTAATAGGCTCAATTTATTAAAGGAAATTTTTAGGATACGGAGAGTAAGGAACAAATATCCGAGGTGAAGAACTTGTCAGCACTTATGGCAGAATTAAAAAGCTTATAATGAATGGCTGTGCTAATAAATTATTAATAGAGACGGGAACAAGGGATGTTATACTTATCAGAGTACATAAAATAAAACATACAAGCCATGAAATTTTATTTGTCCCATGCATGAGGAGCACTACAATTATACAAATAAAAATGTATGGAACTACTGACTGGAAATACTCCTCATGCAAACATATGACAAAGTTCAATGCATACTCGTAAGTCGAAACTAAATTTACAAAGTCCAAATTCAAGGTGCTAAAACCAGTGAAGTCACTACCTCATCGTAAAAAAATGCTTATGATATAATCAGTAACATTGGAGTATGAAAGAGGCAAGAATGCTATACTTCATATCTTAAAGTGGTTGACAAATGAATATCCCTAGATTCAAGTTGCAAACAAAAATATTCACCCAGTACTGTGCATAAAACAATACTCAAAAGCTGTAATAGCCACCAAAAAACATGCATAGGAATTGATTTATAATACAGAGTAACAGCGATTAAGTGCCAAAAATGTAAAGTACATGTAAAATCCAAACACTGTTTCGAACGTCCAATAACTTTACTCATGATAAAAGAGCATGCTGCAGCTGACAGCAACTGAATGACTGTTCCGTGGAATGAAGCCTGGAATTCAGCATTTATATTACACTTGCTATTGCCATATCCTATGATGAAGGATTTACAAAAACTCATATGAAAAAAAAAAATTCCTCGTATATTATTCAGTTGATTTTATATACAGAATACAAATTTTTGTGGAGAGGGATTAAAGCAACAGCTGTTGCTTTCGTTTCATGTTTTTTTCTTTTTTCAAAAAGACATTTCCTTTTAGTATGGTGTTATATTTATTTTTTCAATCCTTCAAATCATCGTGACAGGACACCAGTACTGATAACTCCACTAAATCATGCATAACCATATAGCATCAAATCCCCATAGTGGCATAATAATTTTAAGCTTAAGTATGTAATCAACTGAAAAAGACTAATTCGAGAAGCTCTTTTCGCGGTATGACAAATTTTATTTGATGTTCTTGAAGTTCTTCGAAGGAATTGATGAGGACAGCGATTTTACACAAAGGAAGAAGCGGAGGTAGGGAATACAAAATTCTGTCAAAGCCATTAAAAGCACTTCCGAAGGAAGTTATTTGAACAGGAGTGATATAGAAGTTTAAGGAGACAAGAGTGGAATAAAAATCGACAAACCGCTGCTGCAAACACTTGTTCCAACGAAGGATAATCACCTCCAACGGAGAACATCACTAAAAGAGCACACCAGGCGGTGTAGAACGCTGCTTGCATACATATAATCTGCAAAATAATCAAACCGGGATCCCAAATATATGATCGAAACGAATTCATTTTACCTAGTCAACATCACTGACTGATGACATTTGCTGAGGTCAACCTGAAAGATATTCATAACTGTTAGTCCTTGCCTTCAAACATTCTTCCGCTTTTACAGTCTGAATCTGAATCTATCCACTTGTCAGATATTCTTTTTATCGTTGTTCCAAAAATTAATTTTCACTGCTTCAATGATGCACCTGACTGTTTTGAAAACTATGAAGCAACTTTCTGCTTAAAAATATGTGATTGTTACCACCATGTCAGTCTAAGGCAATAAATCAAATAAATATCTTGTGCAGACTTAAGTCCACAAAATTTTAATCCATTACTTTTATTAAGATGATTTTAACGACTCTGAATAAGACAAAGCAGGATATCCTTCACGTAACATGTCCCTTTTGTCAAGCAACTTTTTATGTGTCAAAATATCACTCAAATTATTCATCGAGAATATGATAATATATAGCTCAGTTCAATAAAAAAACCCAGCTAATCCCATAAGACCAAATAAGTGCTCACAATATTGTTCTAAATTTGAGGCGCTGACGGATATTGCTGAGTGCCCTCGTCTTCCGAACTAGGTCCATGTATTGTTGTTATTCGCGGTATTGGATAATTAGTAGTGTGTGGTGGGATGGGATCGATAATGATCGGTGTAGGATAAGAAGATGAGTGGGGAGTCCTTGAAGATGGGACTAGAGGTAGTGTGAGTAGTGACAAGGGATATCCAGGATTGATAAGCCTAGCAAGGTTTGGAGGAAGATGTTAATTAGAGAGGGAAAGAATAGCGAACAGTTATGGTCTGTAGTTGTAAGTGGTGGAGAGTGAGAGATTACTGGAAAGATGAAGAGTTTTCGATCAGAACTACGAAAGTGGATAGTGGTTCAGAGTAGGCCTGTATTTCATTTCTCTGTCAGTCAGTGTGTAGCTCGTGAATTGCTCAATTTGTAACATCTGAGATCGAAGGGTCAATTACTTGTTACTCAGTTTATACATGCCTGTATAATACCGTGATGCATGAACAAAAAGAGGAAGTCACTGACGGGAATATCATCAAGCTGCTAGAAAATGGAAACATTAAGGAATATTGTTAAGCTACTAGCAAATGCAAATTTTAATTCATTTCATTCGTTGCCCATTCTAGTGTTATTATCTCGCTGATTTATTTATAATTTTGTAGGGTGGTTGCTTCTTTTCGATCTGCTGCCTTGGAAATGTCCCAGACAAAGCAGACAACATCTTCGAGTGGAACGGCACAACGTGTAAACGGATTATCTAGCGAGTTATTAATGGTGAGGGTTCGTTTGACTGAACACTGAGCAATTTATGGAAAGACAAATGTTTATATAAGTATAGAGTTTATTATGTGGATTTATGCTGTGGTAAAAATGAACAAAGTATATCCTGTTTGCTAGGGAAATGGGAAGCTAATGAATATTTGCTTAAAGTATATTTATCATTCTTTTGGGATGAATTGTTCACTAAGTAGAAAGCATTTCTGAGTTAATAGGGTTACCAGTAAGTAACGATCTTTTACCACTGCGCGGTTGCAGATAGTGATATTGGGCGTTGAATCATACCAGCGCTACGCAGTGTTAACCCAGAGAGATTCCTATGCATTCCTTCTTATGCATCTGTTCAGACAGATTTTAATGCTAGAAATAGAGGGCATTTAAGGATGAAGAAAATTTTCATAATGACACTGCAGGAAGAAAACATCCAGAATCCAAATGGCGTTTTGCAGACGAATGTTATGAATGGTGTGACAAATAGGATTCGAGAGTCTAGTGAAGCATCATCGCATAACACAGCTCTTTCCTTTGTTTCTGGACCAACCTTTACTGCTGGTTCAGTACCTTCAATGACTTTACAAGGCAGTCCTGCAACATATATTCCAATACAGGTCGGTTCTTCTTTATCAGAATTAAGTCGATGCTGAAATTTTTATACGTCTTTTCAGATTATAGTAATGAATTATCTATCATTTTGGTCATTACGAAATTGGAATATCACATTGAAAACACTTCAGACAAACGTTCTGATATATTACACTGTGACGTGTATTACTTGATTACTTAAAACTTCTACCATTCAACAATTTTAGTTGTATAACAAATTTTAGGTTCCTGGTGTGATCGAAACGGCTTTTACTCAAACTCCAGCCTTTGCTACTCCTCCTATTTATCCATCCGCATTAACAGCTGCATATATCGCTGGTCCTACAGCTGCACCTGCTTCACCTTGTACATTCCTATCAGCCGCTACTCCAATAACAGCAGTCTGCCACTGCATCTATGCTCAACCATGTGCACTTCATCATCGTCCAATCACTTATGCTTCACATTCGCTTTCATCTTTGGGTTGGTTCTGTCACTGAAAGTTACATAAGGGGTAGTAGTATTTAATTTATTCATTTATGTTATTCTAGTACTTTGAATGTATTCCTTCTCCTTCTTCTATGTTTATTATCACATTTCTGTATTTTAGGTGCAGTCCCTGCTACATTATCGCAAAGCCACTCCCATACTTTACCAGCAACAATAACAAGCAATGTTGCATCTGCTCGCGTGGGTTCAATTAATTTTTTATTTTAGATTTATTGGTGACAGCTTTGACATTATCCAACATCCCAAAAACCTTCTGTATGTGTATGTGTAAAGTATGCACGTTTTTTTATAGGTATCATCTTTGCCACCTACCTTAGCCTTACCTTCTCTTCGATCCTCAGTGATGCGTCTAAAGCGATCCGGTGAACAGCTTCCTACCAGTCATCCTCCGATAACAAATCCGAATGGTGCAGCGAATATTCGTTTGCAGAAAATACGTCGTGTTGAACCTAATACAGAAGCAACCACTTCATATCTGACTTCTCAACGACATGTCGAGTAAGCACGCACATCTTTATTGTACGATGCGATTAATTCCTTGTTTTCGCTACATTGCATGCTTTATTTCTAGAGCCCGAGGTGACGAGAGAAATGCAATAGATAGTAGGCCAGGTTTAAATTCGGCATTTTGTTGCGATTGCCGCAGTCGTTCTACCTATCAGTGTCCTTATCAGTCCTGTCCATATCACAACCATCATCATATCTGCCCGCGTCATCCGATGTGTTTTTGCCAACGCAACGAATCAGGCAGTAGTTACAGGTAGCTTTTGTATAATAGTTAAATATAGTATAGATGGTTTCTTCAGTGCGCAAACCTGTGTGAGATTTTAGTTTATCTTTTTTCCAATAATTTTTATTTATTTTATTTTTTAAGACGTGAAACTGACATGAATCCAGTACATGATTTGTTACTATCATCGCGTGTGGCACAAATCGAACGTCAACAGCAGGCCAACAATTTGTGGTTTCAGCGACACTCTTTAGCATCAAATAGTCTGATTGGTGTTGATATTGTCCCAAGACGTTTAACGTCTCAACCAGTAGTTTTCTTACCGCGTCATCACCAACCCATTATGGAGCTTGCTATGGTATGATTTCTTATTTCAATTTTTAAAACTATTTTTTGGTTTTCTTTTTTATCCATTTGTAAGGAAATTTATTTCAGGTTCTGTTGCAGCCACATGATCCAACGGTTATTTTGGGTGGCAATGTGCCTACTTCTAATGATCCTATACCAGTCGGCGCAACTGTTGAACAAATCAATCGTTTTTCGACTACCTACAAATATATCAAAGAGAATGATATTCCCGAAAACGAACAAGAACGCTGCACGGTTAGTTTGCACTTTTTATCCTCCATTTATATTAATGCATTTGTTATCACTGATCTTTTCAAATCCATTTCACAGAATTGTTCAGGTATGCTTGAATGATTTCGAAATGGACGAAGAAGTCCGAGCTCTTCGCTGCAATCATGTATTCCATGTCGTTTGTATCGATCGTTGGTTGGTGTACAATAAAAAATGCCCGGTCTGTCGTTTAGATGTGGATAAAACAAACGTAGTATCAGTGGTATCCCTGTGATTCGTATTAGTAAATGGTCTATGAGTTTTTAATATCTTTCAATCTTTCATTATAGGTTAATTTTCTGTTCTTCCAAACTACTTTTTTTTTATTTTCATATTTCTCATGAATCTGTATATTCCTTTTCAAGTAAGGTCTTCAAAATAAATTGATATTGTGAAAGTACTGGTGGGCTAGAAATAGCTAGAAAATTTTTGTCGGTGTTTTGATATTTTTCTCTGAATATTCATTTTCATTTAGTGTGAAAGGAAACAAACCCTAATTTCGATTTCTTATATTTGTTATTTTCCTGTGCTTTCATTTATCCTTATTCAAATATCGCGGTGATGAAATTTTATACTGTCAACATTTGTACTTCCATTTTCTTTTTTGATTCCTTATCTTTCATTTTTGGTGATACCAAACTAGATATTTTCTTGTTCTCTCACATAGTGTTTGAAACAATTTTAACAGTTCTTTCAATAAATGAAAATTTTTAGATGTATTTTCTGATAAAGTTTTTTTATGAAATGATAAATCTAGTAGTGTGTGGTACACTGTCAAAAATTTCCAGCATGTCAGCGTCTCTGGTCTTCTTAGAGGTTATCATAAAGATTGATGACTACTTTCTCGAAATATTGCCCCCGATTTTTAAAGAAAATTACTGCTACGCACGTACTTTAGCCGCAGTAATCATAGAAAGGAAGTGGCTATTTGTTTTCCGTCATTGTCTGGTCTGATAAAAGCTGTAACTGCGTGTGCTCACAAATGTGGGAGAAAGAGGAATATTAAGTTTGCATAATATAAGCATGTTTCAGATGTGCTTCAGGTTGATATATTGTTTACTAACTATTTTACCAATTGTACCGTTACCGGTCATCTTTATGCTAAGGTGATCCAGTGGCTATGTGAAATTATATAGGCTATGGATGCAGAAACTCAGAAATGATGGGTTGTGGATTTTCCAGTATTGCTTTACTATAACCGGGCGAAACGTTGTTGGTTATAGTTCTTGCACCCGTCAAGGTCTGGAACCGGCCTTATTTCAAAATTATTGTTTGTTAGTGTAGTAATAGCTTTGTCAAATTTTTTCCACTTGTATTAGGATTTTATCCTTAGGCTTGTTTAAAGTGTCTATAAGGTTTGTTCCAACGTGCTTTGACTTCTCTCTCGGTGTCAGTCAGTACCATGAGAATGAATTTTATGAAATTCTCTGTTCTGTACATTGCTTTTTTGTTTTTGGGTACTTCTGGAGCGATTGAATTATGTCAGCCAGGACAGATCATTTATTTGTTCGTTTTGGACGCTTAGTAGGAAAAGCAAAGGTACAAGAGAGACGACAAGCGGGCAACGCTTATACTAAGTACATTTCACCATCATCATGCGAGAATTGCCACAAAACTAGTTTTCTGGTGCTTAAAATAAGTCAGCCGTCATACCTTGATATGTGTGCACGTCATAACAGCGCAGGTAATGTGCCACTTCCTTTTCGAGCAACAGCTTCTCTTAACCTTTACCCTCTCTCTCTATAATTTTCATCCTGTTACTTTATTTATGCAGGCTTTTTAATTCGTTCAAATCTCATTTCCGTACTTATCCGTCACTCATTCCTACTGCAACTTCCTTTGTCAAATGCTTATCGAACCTTTAGTCGAATCTCTCCTTTCCTTCAGTGATTAACATTTTCCACTTCACTTTTATGCATCGCATCTACTGGAATTTGTTGTTCACTTCATTTCATCGCAATAGTGCAAAGAAAAAAAAAACCAAATAGTGATTTCTTAAAGATTACAATTTCTATTGTTTGTTTGACGATTTCCTGAAGCAGATCAGGAATAAGAGAACTGTAAAGCACATAAGGGTTCTACAGGAAATGTTCTTCCCTAAAAATAATATTATAATTGCAGAAAACAGAATAATTCATAGCAGTAAACCAGTGAATCGGTTTCTGCTTTAATTATTGTTGATTTAGAGAGATATAAAACATCGATTTTTCTGTAACTGTTATCCTTAAATTTTAGCGATTAGGAAATTCGCTAGTCTTAACTTTGGATTTATTAGTTGGGACTAATAAAGCTTCTTGCTACATGTCCTAATAATATCGGCATTTAGGCTAAACTATTATTTACCATTCACCGAAATCGTTTAACGAATATTGAAATTATATATGAAATTATAAATTATAAATAACGGATATCGAAATTATTCAGGATATTATAAATAATCGAAATCTACATTGCTCTAAACGTTTTAAACAAATATCGGTTTTTCTAATGATATATTTTATATATCATTAAAATATAAAAATAAAAGCCTACTTCATGTTTACAAATATTTGTTTTGCTCCATTTTGAGAGCTATTCTAGGGAGGACATAGCACTGTCAATTTTTGTACACATGTTTAGTACAGAGATTTGGGACTTGACTATTTGCTAATCATGTATGATTTAAGGCTTGTATAATTTATCAGATATTGAGGAGTAATGTATAGGATGTTATTGATTTGACTTAGATTTCAATATAAATTCTTTAAATCAATTAACTTCATTAAAAATGAATGCAAATTGTTACTATAGCTCTGTGGATTTTCGAGGTATGAATTATCATCTTGAAAGATGATGTCTCTTTTTAGATTTTTCCTTTTTTCAGAGAACAGTCGAAAATAGAAGAAATAACATAATTAGGAATGGCGAAGTAGCAGAAATTGGGAATGTATTAAAGTGTGGGTTTGCGAAACAAGTGTGCTATATAGTAGTGTCGACAGGTGCAGGTGTCAACAGATTAGCAAATACTTTTGCAATGTTTCACTGGATCTTAGTTACCAGATGGAATTGAAATACTGAAGTCTTAAATCCTTGTCCTAAACATATGTACAGAAATTGACAGTGCTGTAAAACTTAGCTCTCAAAATGAAGCAAAGCAATTATTTGTAAACATGAGAAGTCTGGGCATTTTTTTTTTTCATATTTTTTTTAAGCTTTATTTTTTTTATATTTTTAAGTTAATTATGTATATTTATCGCTCATTACTCTAATAAACATTATTTTTCTTTCAATGTTTCCAATTTGGTAATCCCGGGATTTATGATATGATGCAGTATATAAAGCCAGATATTTCAACTCTTTAAATTATATCTGTGGGTTTTTATATTACTTCAGCTCCATTCATTTATCAGAGTCGTTGCTAGGAAAATCAGTCATCTCTTTCATCCAAGCACTAAAATTAGAAATTTTGTTAAATAGAATAACAAATAGTAGGATTAGCTATATATAAACGATTGCATATATCCACTTGACCAAGAACACATGGACAAATTAAACCTCTTCCAATACTTTAGGAAAAGTTAAATCTTTGCCACACACTTGGAACGATGAAGATAAATTAATTTCGAGTCTGAAAAATGACAGGATATAATAATGTAATATTTATCAATTCTGATGAATGGGTAGGATTTAACCTTGAATCATTTTTCTGAAATTTAATAGAGTTTCATTTATAAAAAATCAGTGAATCTCTCTAAAAATCTCATTGATAACGTATCTCGGAAAGAAAGTTGAACAAGTTTATTATTTAGTATAGTTAATAAACATTCCATTTAGAGCTGTAAACATTGCAGTACAAGATGCTATGTTGAGTTTAATTCTCATGCTACCATCCCTTTTTGTTTTTGATTTTAAATAAATACCTTGGGTGGTTTTCTTGAGCTAAATTTTGAAATAACCTCAAGAGATAATTTTATTGATTCTTCGCAGTCTCTTCTAGTGATTGCTTAATTCTTAAATTTTTAAAGCCAGTTTTTAGTTTAGGCAGCAATTTACTCATTAAAAAGTATCAAAAGTAGCAGTTCGAATCAAGCTATCATCTTTTGTTTTTCTTTTTTAAATATGTACAGTTGAACATCAAATCTGGCCGGAAAAAGTTAATAGTAATAATTTAATAATAACTACTGTTTTAGAAATAACTTCACTTAATAGTGATAACTATTGTGTCTTTATTTTTCTGAGAATTCCTTCAATGATACCTTCTTTATATTGCACAATCCTTTTTGATACCCGTTTCAATGATACTGCTCTGTTTCTTTTACCGTTCACCGCTTCTTTCATTGTACAAGTAAATTGTTAAAGTAAAATAGCAAAAAAAAAAAAAAGAACAAAGTCTTCTGAATTAGGTGCCGTGTAATTTGCTAATTAGCTGCTTATTTTCTCCTTTTTTCAGTAAAAAAGAATCAAATAATTATCAAAAATTTACATACATATTTGATATGAAAAAGAAGACATACACTTGAGCAAATAAATAAAATGAAATTTTCTTTTAAGAAAGTTGTTTCATCGAAATGCTGCAAAACTTTACAACAATCTAAAAATTGATCGATTTTAGAAGTAAGAATAATGGTGAATGGATGAATCAGGTCTTTTCATGAGAACCAGGTATCTTAAGGTATCATCACTAAAAGATGAGAAGTGATTATAGGTAGAAGTGTTGTGCATCAGGGAAGGTTCATATTGCCGAGAAATGGGACATCTGTCATTTAACGATGACAGCGCTCCTTGCAAGTTACAAACACATGATGTTTCATTGTCCCTCTCTCTCCCTTCATTTCTGCTTGCATCCATTTGCGGTTGCTGTGCATTGACTAAGCTAAGCCATTAGGGAGATTCTTCTTTGTCAGGTTTAGTAGTTATGGTGGCGCTTGTTGTTTCATCCAGAAATACTGAAATAGATGAAACATCTTTGTGTCTTTTGAACTGATCTAAACTATAGTCACCGCATTGCTTAATGAAAGAGCTGAATATCTCATCAAGTATTCCTTTGACAATTTCACAAAAATTTCGCCTTTTCTATCCAAGCAAGCAAATCCAAAATTTCACTTTAGAAGTGGAGGATAATGACAGAATTATCGATTTAATAATTGTATTAACTACTTAAGCACTTGAGGAAATGCAACTGTTTGATGAGATACTGAACAGAAATTGAAATTTTGAAAGCACTTCAAAAAATTTAAAAATTTCATCTTTTTCCTATTTCAAAGATTTTTTTCTCCAGTAAAAGCTCATTGTTTGATGAACCAACTTCATAAGAACTCTCTCTGATGATACAGAAAAATGCTTTTCAAAGATTTATTGATTTACGGTCAGTTAATTAATTAACGTCAATAAGTTCGCTATCAAAACATGCTAAGTAGCACAAAATGTGCCAAAAATAATGAACTGTGGATGAAATGGAGGAGAAGATGATTGTTATTAATGGAAGCTATTATTACTGTTAAATAAATTTTTGTATCTCTCATGATATCTTTCATACTTGATCCTTTCGCTTCATAGAGAATTATTGCTGCTATGGTTCAATTTGTTTTTGTTACCTGTTCTTTCGGTGACACTCATATATTTTAAATCAAATTTTGTTAAACCTTTCAAAATTAATTTTGCCAAAACGAAAAGTTTTACTTCATTCTGCCATCTGTAATCATATTTTGATCATTTTTTCCCACTCATAATTTGCTTATTCAGGAAAGCTAACAAAACTAAATTAACCGGCTTAACTGAATAGACAGAAATATTCAGCTTTATTAAATAGGTGAAGGGAATTAAGTTTAGGACTATTAATTGATTATATCAGTACCACTCCAACTGTCATCTGATGACATCAAAATACCTGATAACACAGGAGAAAAGGACAGAAGGAAGAGCAAAAGGGTCGAAAGTGACAAAATTGATTTTATGGTTAAGCAGATCGAATAAGTGATGATAAGATATCATTTGAATATGTGACAAACAGAAAGGGACAATTCCATTTGGTAATTCTCATCGTAGATACCTTTGTGATTTGGAAAATGAATAATCATTGTTATAGAAACTAACCAATGCATATTCGTCGCATGAGCCTGGCAACTACGGTAGTATTTGTGGCATAGTGATTCAGCCTGGGGTGACAGGTTTTGTTGATATCCGGTATGACGGATGAGGGGTGATAAGTCAGGATGGTCGCTTGATAAACGCGTTCATTTAGGCAGTTGTTGGTAGATTTATACTTTGTCCTTCTTGAAGTCCAACCCAATCATATTAACCTTGTTTACATCGCTTGCACATTATCTTCATGCACGCACTTATTATCTTTTGGTTTTTAATCCCATTTCTCGTTTTTATTTCAGAAATTTGACTATAAGCGTATTATTTATCCTTTTTGCAAGTATTTCATTTTATTTGAAAATAGCTCAAAGTCGAAGCCAGATAATTCTCACTATCTTTTAAGGCCATTCATCCATTTCCTTTTAAAGTTTATTACTGTGATCTAAAGAAATATGCACATTAAAACTAAAATAGGCCAGGAATTTTTTCTTAATCAATGTATTGTAAATATTTTTTAAGCCGTGGTCAAATTAACCGACGTCTAGAATGAGAATAAAGATTAGACTTTTGTCCCATCATTCTCATATTATTATTATAATTAGTCCTCATTATATTTGTATTTTCAGGCCATTTGCAATTTCAACACATTCAAGAAACAAAGTTTATAATGTTATGTTAAAATCTCAACTTGAAACGAAAGCTGATATACAGAAGGAAACGACTGAATCAAAAAATATAGAAGGTTATATCTATTGAATACAATTAAAGAATTTCCAAATAACAAGAACATTTTTAAGCAATCCATCTTGAAAGTTAAATGAACTGTGACTAAATTTTCTAGTTCTCCAGTGCTTGATTTGTTCACGAAAATTGTTTCATTCATCTGTATTTTCCAACCTCTAATCCGTTTTATAAGGAGTACAAAATCCCATTTATACAGCAATAAATTGTTTGGCTTTCATGAATCTTAAATACTTGTGTTTCCAAAAAATCTGTCTTTTCAGACATAATGAGTTTTGGTGACTTCATTTTATTCATCTCTGGTCTTTAAATTTAGCATAAACCGCCTAAACTAATTTCAGTTTTTGAGCAGACAAGTGGGATAGTCACAACTGCTAATGTGGAATTTAGTTCCGACAGAACTACTGAAAAGTAGGTGAAAACTTTTCCGTAGCAAAGTCATTCTCTGCAGTAGTCCGTTTTCTATTATTTCAAAGGGTTGCATTTTATAAGAATAGTTTCATGAAAAAAAGAATATAAATGAGTAAGAAATTAAAGTTTTTTTGATAATTTTTTTTCGAAGTTCATAAGCAGAACAGTGATTTTTCAGATCACGATACAGTCGTAGGAGGCACTCTTATCATGTGTTTGGCAATTCGTTAAAATCAGGCAAATTTTGGTTACGCCTTTTTCGACCATGGAAGTGGCGAAAACGACATCAGAGAGAACGACTACGGTTAATTCATATTATTAAATTTGTGTGTGAGATTTTGTGTTGCTTTCAAACCAAGATATAGAAATAGCTTTAATAATTAACAGAAGTACACTGAAATGCTGTGTACTTGTCATACATCTACACAACTTAAAAGTCCTGTTTCCTTGAGTTTTTTTACTTAATAGGTGTTATTGTTAACACTGCAAGACTATCATTTTTTGCAGTAAGGTTTATATAATGCGGTAAGATTAGAACATATATACTTAAATATTAATTTCTTGTGAACATATGAATAACATGTGTGTTCGTTTGATTGATGTAATTAAGTTATGGAAACTTTGTCAAGTTTAGCAGCCATACATAAAGAGACGAAGCATTTAATTCT